TTGAATATCTCCAGAGAAGTAGACTCCCCCCCCTCCCTGGGCAGCCTGTTCCAGGGCTCCATCACCCTCAGAGGGAAGAAGTTCTTCCTCATGTTCAGACGGAACTTCCTGTTCTTCAGTTTGTGCCCATTGCCCCTTGTCCTGTCGCTGGGCACCACTGAAAAGAGTCTGGCCCCATCCTCCTGACACCCACCCTTCAGATATTTACAAGCATTTATTAGGTCCCCTCGCAGCCTTCCCTTCTTCAGGCTAAACAAAAACACAAACAAAACCTTAAAGCTAAAATCCTGGGTGAAATACTGAAGAGCGCCCAAATGATTTAGGAACCAGATTTCCACTGGTCCCAAACTTCTGACAGGTTTACTTCTTGTTTACTCTGTATGGTTACCTAAGGCCTTTCCAAATTTCTTGTAACGGGATGTCGCTCTCCATCCTCCGCTTTACTGTTTTGTGCCATTTCCCTTGCCCGGAGCTGGCTGCGTGTCAGGCAGCAACACGCTGGCAGTCATCAGAGCTAAAATCGCTCCTCACAGGAAACCCAGCACGTTGAAGGTGCAGGCAGAGAGGGAGGTTTAACTCTGAGCCCCATCTGCAGATAGGAAAGCGAGATGATCCCAGACTCAGGATAAAGAAGGGCGCCTAGATTGAACTCACCACCGCTCCCCCTCGCTGCCCTCAGTCCCAGGGGCTCCTCACCATGCCGAAATAAAGCCTCGGGCTGGGCAAGCTCCTGGTCCCCGGAGGCGGTCGGCTGAGGGAGGATGCTCGCCCGGTCCCCGGGAGTGAATAGCATCCCCGCGCCGGCCGGCGGCTGCGAGCTGGGCTCTTCCCCGGCTCTCACAACCCCTTCAACAGAAGTGACACGAGGCACGCTCTTGCTCGCAGCCTGCTGCCGCTCAGGAGGTTGGGAGAAGAAGAGACTTAGTCCTTCACAGCTGGGGGGCTCTGACTTTGCAAGCTGAGGCGTGATTAAGAAGGAGGATGAGGGGGGGGAAAAGGGGGGAGAAGGAGAGGCGAGATGAAGGAAAGGACTCTCCTCCGACTCACGGCATAAGGCGGAGTCCCAACCTCTCCGTTGCATTTTTCCCCCATGCTGCCCTTCACTATAATCCTCCGGGAAACAACCAGGAGCGGACCAGGGCATGAACCTGCAAAGCCCCCCCAGCCCAGGAATCAGTAGCTGTGGCGCTGTGCCCAAGCTCATTAACCCCACTGCGGCGCCAGGCTAATTATCTTGAGCACGGCATCACGCTAATGCAACTTCTCTGTTTCCAGGACCTCCAAAAATATACAGACAACAGAGAAATGGGGAGGGCAGTTTTGCTGGCGTAGTAACAATATATTGGCATCCATTCAACTGTCCTTGTGCTTTGCTGGGGTATGATCTTACTGGGAAGGTCTTCAGAAATGGTGGGAAGGAGGCAGAACCCAAGGAGTGAGGCGGCCACGCCTGTTTCGTGCGGCACTGGGTGGGCGGCGCTGGGTGGGTGGCACTGGCTGGCCAGGGGCAACAGAAGGACGTTCGGAAAGGGACCTTGCACGCCAAATAGCGAGGGAGCTGCCTCTCGGAGAAATCAGCAGAGCCCATCGCAACCGCCACGCGTAAGTATTCGCAGAGGACTGTACATCTTCCCGGTAGCTGAGAGGTGGAATTCTGCCACCCATTCATCATTCGTAAGAGTCTAAAATCCCCAACAGTCCTTCAAGGAGGAGAGTGTGAATGAGGCCCAGGAGGAAACAACGAGCTGCTGGAGGAAAGCCAAATATACCAGCCCGGACACCTTCAAAGTGGTATGAAAGACATCCCAGCCAGGTGTACAGCAGCAGTCACGGAGGGGGAGCACCAATTCACACCAGCCAGGGAGAGAAGCCGTGCGGCTCTCCTCTTTAACACCCCAGCCATCTGACCCAAGCTACGGAGAGGGTAGGCATCTCTTGCAGGTCAACGTCTAAGCCTGGTGTGAAGAGCTACTCTGTTACCTGCATGCCCTAAAACCAAAGGCACCGAGGCAAAATGGCCAGAAAGGACGTACAGAATAACGGTTGTTCCTTCTAAGGGCATCTCTGATTGCTTCTCAGGTAGGTTAACAGCAGGACTGGGGCTGTCATCTCTCAGACATACTCGCAGTCTGCAGTGCATTTGTCTGCACAGCACGGCTGCGAAGTACGGAAGCGCTCTTCGTGAGGGGCTGAGTCTGCCTCATCCAGGCAGAAATATGTCCAGCTCCCTTCACATTCAATGGCAGCTGAGTACCTAAATACCCCAGACCTTGGCGGGGCTGAGCCTCATTAGCTTGCTCTGGATGGGAGAGCTGAGAACCGAACCTGAGCACCTGCCCCGTGGTTTAACAACTGAAACGCCTCATCTGTCTCTTCTGGTGAGGAAAAGCCAGAGGGTAAAGGGAGCTGGAAAAGGGCAAGGGGGGCAGAAGAGGGGAGGGACAAAAGGAGTGCCAGCAGGGGCTCCATTGCTTTACACCGAGGGGTAAGGTTATGCGGGACCACAAGCTGGGTTGTGGGACAGGAGGGGAAAACTCTCACCTTGCAGGCAAGACAGACTAGGGAGCACCCCAAAAAAAGCCTGCGGTAGCCCCCGGCTTAGGGCCACGTGGAGGGACCTTTCGGAATGCGCTGCTCCAGGGATACCTCTGGGTGCCCAGGAGGCACACGCTGTGCAGGGAATGCAGAGAACTGGTCTTTTGTTTCACGCCCCTTTGTTTTAACCTCTTGAATCAAAGACCCCAGCTGCTACTCCGGGAGAGGCTAGAAATTAATCCAATTAAAAAATAAATTCCCTGTGGAATCAAAACCGCTCGCCGGGTGGGGGGTATGGGCATGCGATTTCTTTCTTCCGCAAAAACAAACTCTTTCTTTTAACTCCCATTTCACAGAGGGGAGAGGCAGGCAAGGAAGCATTTGGCGCAAATGTGACAAACAAACGATGGGGATGATTTATAACCCCGGTCCCAACCTGCAGCTCACGGCAGGCCCCCGGCCGCTGCCTCCCATAGCCTGCACGGCCAGAGACGGAGGCACAATGCCGCGTGCTACCCTCCGACACAAACAATCACAGAGCAACAAAACCCTGTGCCGCTTCGTTCCACTCTTTTGTTTTCCGGCGTTTTTGGTCAGCCGGGGCTTGTGGAGCTTGACAGGTTAACCCACACTTCCTTGGTTGCGGCAGAAATGATTAAACAGGGGGGGATTGTTTAGGCCGTGAAGCAGAAGGAATTCCTTTGTTTTTGTAGATCACTCCAAGGCAGCCGAGCCCAACGGGATGCCCAAGAAGAAAGAGGCTGAGCGCAGAGACGGGTTTCCAGGGAGGGAGGTTGTGCCAACCCCCCTGCAGGCTCAGAGATGAGGGGTTTGGGGACACCTTGCATCCCAACTTCAAGGCTGGAGAGAAGCCCTCTGGGTATGTGGGTGAGCAGGACCCAGCTGAAGACCATGCCCAGGCAGTCTGACTTCTCCCTGCCACGCTCAGCAAAGCCCCAGTAAATTCATACCACCTCAGGGCTTCTGCTGCAAGGGGAACCCACCCCATCGCCCCGAGGGTACGCAGTCATGTGCTGAGGGCAATCGGGGCCAAGGAGAGAAGGGGACTTTCAACAGCCAGGGCTTCGTGCACGCAAGATCTCCTGGGCTTTCCCACAATATATACACAGCCACCTCTTCGTAAAGCCTGGCATGCTTCCACCACCCCACGTGTGCACTAAGCTGCACGTCCTCCCTCAAGGTATACGTGGTCCTGAGGTACTGGGCTGGATCTCCACGGGAGGCTTACCTTCTCTCGGAGCCACAAAATGTGACACCTCTTAGCTCATCTCCATCGACAGAGATCACTGGTGAGGATCCCGGGCACCTGCTGAGAAGAGAAAAGCCTTGCCCGGTTGCACTGGGGACACCAGCACCTTGGGACATATGTAGACTTGCTGTGCTGTGGGTGATGGTAAAAAGGGCCAGAGCCACAAATGCCTGTGGTCAGCTGGACGAGTGGAGAGAAGAGGAAGAGGAGATCCTGGGTTTCTGTCACGCCACATAAGGCAATAAATATCTGAGGAGAGGGGAAGAGAAACAGCAAATGTGATTTCTAAGAGCTGGATCAGCATCAGGGGAAAAGTAAATGTAAAACTTAGAAAAAGGCAGACGGAGTGATTTGCTGGCCACGTCTCTGGCTTCGTTGCTGCTGGCATCAGGCTGGTGGTCTAGCAGTGCTTCCACTCCTTGGAGGGTTGAGGGCAACACACTACCCGGGGATTTGAGTTTACAGGGATGGGGTGGGGAGGGGGAGGGGAGTGGTGTCTTGCTTTCTCCTTTTTCTGACACCCACCTCCCAAGCAACGTTGATTTCTGTGTCTAAGAGGTACGGGAAGGAGCTTGGCAGCAGAGATCAGACCTCCGGACACTGCAAAACGCCTCCTTCGCGGCAGGAGGAGTCTCCTCTGAGTCTCCGCAACATCACGAAGTGCAAGAGAGCTGGTAAATTATTAAAACAACCTTGCAACAGCTCCGGAGAAACCACCAGTGCCTCCGATTCAAAGGAGAGGCTGCGGTGTGAGAATCCCCATTAGTAACAATACGCACAGTTTGCAAGAACATATGTCCCCGCGTGGAGCAATCAACCAATCTGGGCTGTTTAACCACAAATATTTCAAAGAAGTGCTTCTAACACAGCTGATCCGTATGTTTATTTTTGAGCTGTAGAACGGGATTCTTCACTAGCCTTTCAGAACATTTCTGTGATGGACTCTATCCAAACTATCGGGGAGGAGGCTTTGCTCCAGCGGAGCGACTGATACGCGTGGGTTGGTTTTTTTTTTAACTCAGAGTCACGACTGTGGAAAAAAAGAATAACCCAGGCAGACACAAAGTGCATTTCCCCCTCTGAAAAAAAAAAAATAAATGGCAAGGGGAGCAAGACCCCACCAGGACCCTCTTAAGAATGGGTTTGGATCGAAAGTGCGCGAGATGGGGACTGGGTGGATGGGAAAGGGGAAGGCTTTCCAAGCCACTTCTGATGCGGATACCTGCAAAC